GAAGAGAAGAAGAGGGAGCAGAAACTGAGGGAAGGGGAGGGGGAGCCCGCTGGCAAGCTGGGGCTCGGGGAGGAGAGGGGCGAGGGACTGGCACTTTGGGAGGCAGTGCACTCAGGTGTGGGGCAGGGGGGCCGGGAGGAGTGAGGGTGTGAGCAAGGCTTTGGAGGAGGAAGGGTCGTTATCAGGGGCATGGGACACGAAGGAGAGGTGCGGGAAGAGGGGCAGCTGTGAGGGGGCTGGGGCTCAGCACAGAGGAAGGAGGGAGAGTGCAAGGGGGCTGGGGCTGGGGGAGGAGCAGAGCATGGGGGGAGAGGAGCGCGAGGGGCTGGGGCCTCTCGGCTGCAGTGGAAAAGCTGCTGCAGCTCCAGGGGAAATGCTACTTGAATTAATCATGGCGCTGGCTGCTGTGCCAAGCCCAGGAGGAGGCTGCTGGCAGCGCGAGGAAATAACTTTCACAGGAATTTGGAACAAATGCAGCTCTTCTGGCGGTAACAGCAGCACTCACCTCCCCCACAATCTCCCCATGTACCAGCATCTCCCCCATGTCCCTGCTCCCCACGTACCCCCAGGCTCCCCCGCATTACAGCCTGCCCTCCCTGAAGCATGATGCACTCCCTCCCTTCCAGCAAGCTCACAGGCATCTCCTCATCCTGTCTTGGGAAGCTTTTCTTCTCATTTCTGAGGAGGGGGAGGCCTGTTTTATGTTGTATAAAGGTCTGAAAATAGGTTAATGCTAAATCCCTTGTCCCAAGAAAACAAATGCATGTAGCAATGCCCTCCCCACCTCCAGCCACTCTCTTCAGCTGCAAAGCCAGTGAGCATTATTGTTCCTCTTGCTGTTGCAGTCTCCATGCATAGCTACTCCTCATGTCCTCTCACAGCTGCCCCCTCCAGTTGCACCACCCCATGCATCAGGATTATCCCCTCACGACTCTCTTGCGGTGCTACAGTATGCGTGGCCTAGTCTTGTCTAGAGCGCTTCGCTATGCGGTGCACCGCCCAAGAGGCTGCTCAGGTAAGGTGCATGCAGCACAGCCAGCCCCACAGAATCACAAATCAGTACTCAAACTTCAAAACTCACGAGATTTGCCCTCAAAATTGCAAGATAAGGATATACATTTGGCATGTTCCTGGTCAGTTTTTGATTGCTGATGTTCTTCTTCCCCAGCAATTATGTTTATGTGTATGGGTGCAATGCAGATATAGAAGCCCTGGTTCCAAGATCATTAATATTGGCGCTATGTAAGAACCAATACCATCTCATCACATTCACATTTCTGTCAAATCTGCCAGTTCTGACAATATGGAGTTTACACAGCGCCATGCTTTATGCTGGCTGCCAGAGGCCAGACAATACTCAATTTAGTTTGAAAAGTTAGAAAGCCCCAGAAAGACAATATCTGACCATGCACACCGCTTTCTGGTACAAAATCAATCCAATATAATGTTTAAAACAAATCTGAGCCAGCAGGGTGAATTTATACTAGAACTGTGCTTCACATCATGTAACCATAGCATTTGAACGTGGTACAAGGAGCCCTAAAGCTTCTACATCATCAACCCACGGCCACAAAGAGAAACAAAGAGTGAGGAAACAACCAACTAGCAACTATCCCTTGCTCTGCTTTCTGCTGATGTGGTGTCCACTTCAGCTCCTTCTCTGCTGGTGTTCCCCTCTTGAACTGTGAGTTTGCTATTTTCTCTGCTTTGTGCTTGTTCAGAATCTGCTACTGTGGGACCTGGCCCATGATAAACACAAGTAAAAAATAAAGATGTTAAGAGATTTTTTTTCCTTATAGTGCTCAGGGGCTCTGGCCAGCAACCTGCTCTGCTCAGCTCTGTTCATATACACAAAAGACCAATCTGGCAGAGGGGACAGGAGGGAGTGGGAGACTTGCAGCCATGCTTCAAGTCCCCCCAGTCACTCACATGGGCTCCCCAATTCCCCCATCTTTCTGTCCTGCCCATAGCAGATGTCGTCATCGGAAAACAGACCTGGCCCTCTCAAGGTTTGTTGCTTAGAAACACAGTAGTCTGATGAAGTATCAAACTCATTCTGTGAGCTCGGAGGCTGCCCTGTCTCCTGCATGTCGTGCTGGCAGTGCTGCCCATGGCCTGGGCTCTCGTGAGCAATATGGGGATCTGGCCCAAATCCAGTGCTTGACCTCCCAAGGCAGGATGTGTTCTGATGCCTGGAAGCCACAGACAGACTGGGTCAGGCAGGCATAAGTACACACACACGGGGCATGGGGGCAGCACATCTGACACGGGTGAACCCCAGGACGTGGTGCTGGCTGGGGGGCACCAGGCACCCCAGCATCTCCTAAGCCCTCGTTTGGGGCAAGAGGGAAACTGCAGCCAGAGGTCCTGAGGGGTGGCCAGCTCCCTGCCCCAGCTCTACCCAACTCCTTGGCCTGGCTTGCTCCTGCGGCAGCTCAGTGGCGAGCCGGCAGCCCAGCCCGCCTCCCCATCCTCTCACGTTTCCCGGCTCAGAGGAAGCAGCAGCAGATGTGTGAGCTGTTTGCTTTGTGCCGAGGCCACGCGGGAGTTACCTGCGCTCAGCCCAGACGCGCCGTTTCCAAATGAAACATGAGGGCTGAGCCAAGACCATCGAAATCCGGCCAAACGTTCAGCCGCTGCAGGCCGCTCAGCCAGTGCCTCCCCCTGCGCGGCGCGGAGCCGGGGCTGGCCCCCTGCACTGCACCGGCCCTCCACGCGGCCACTCAGCCATGCGCCGGCCCTGCCTCTCCGCACCATCCCCGCAGCCCCCACAGTGCCCCGGCCCCTCTGCAGGTCCCTGCGCTCCCTCCCGCCTGTCCCCACCGCTCCGCAGCCAGGAGCTGAGCCGCCATCTCCGATTGCATTTCCAGAACGCCTCCCCACACAGCAAACGGCACCGAACAGGAAGGCATGGAGAGTGAGAGAGAGGCCTCCCTTCGGGGGCTCTGAAGCTGAGATGGCCCCACCAACGCCTGGGCCTCGTGCTCACCTGGGGCACACGGCTCCTCCACCCTAATCCTGTCCCCGACGCCATCCCCAGCTCTGTCCCCAGCCCCGGCGTTGTCCCTGTCCTCAAACCAGTACGCATCCATCTGGGAGACTGGGAGTGTTGCCCTGTGCAGATGTGCCCTTCCCTCACCCAAATCTTCCTCCCTGTCTCCCACTCTGACCCACCCTACCCCATCACATATCTGCCCCACCTGAAACTTGCCCCTGCTCCACACCCCTTTCCTGTTGTACACCTGCCTTTTTCCCCCCACACCCTCCACCCCCATTCCCTGCATTCCCCCAACACGCACCCTCCATCCCCTGCATTCACCCACCCCACACCCCCATTTCCCCCATCCCCTGCATTCACCCCTCCACACCCCCATTCCCTCATCCCCTGCATTTGCTTGCCCCACACCCTCATTCCTCCCCCAACCTCTGCATTCATCCATCCCACACCCTCCATCTCCCCACACTCACCCACTGCATACCTGCCCTTCCCCATGCTTCCCACCTCACAACCCCACAGCCCAGCAGTGCCCCAGCAGCACATTCATCAACCAACTCTTCTCCTCTCCTCCACTTTCTCCTCCCAGCCCATTTGGGGGCCCCTTCCCCTGGCCTGGCTGCTGGGCCCATGGGGCAGGGGCTCCTTCTGCCCCATCTCACAGGCCTCAGAGCTCCTCTTTCCCCACTCCCTCCTCCTGGCCCCATGGCCACCGCTCATCACCTGCCCCCTCAGTCCCCCACAGCCCTGGCCGACCAGCCTAGCGCCCTATGACTCCAGCAAAGATTTGCCCCAGCTTCACAGGTGCTTGCCCTGGCCAACGTGCTGAACACTGCCTTGGTTGGCAGTGCCCTACTCTGCTTCCATGCCACTGTCCCGCTGCCAGCCCCATGTGCCACATCTCCTCAGTCTGTCTCGGACAGGCTGCAGCACCTGTCTGCAGCAACCAGCGCTCATGCTATGGCTGAGCAAAAGCAAATGAAGTACACCACACGTAGCATTCCTGGCACAGCTGGGAGGTCCACCGAGCCTGCCAGAGGGGCAGCACCTCTCCAGGCCTCACCTATTCTCTCTCACTGTGTGAAGGCTCATGCAGCACATAATATCGCAAAACTGCTGCTGCCAAGGTAATATAACAATACCAATCATGCATAATTAATGCTAATGTTCCTACCTTATAACCAGCCTTACAAACACTGATGAACTTAAGCTAATGATCTTACAGGGAGGGGGAGAAGTTAGCAGCCTGGCTAGCAGTTACTGCCTAGTAATCCAACTCTGTTCACTTGAGCCTCATTTCTAGTATCCTGGCCTGCAAGGCAGCTCCGCACTTGTGCGAGCAATGCCTAGCACAGTGGACCCCAGTCTCAGCTGAGGTCAACACACTGCTTGGCACAAAGGAGGTGTGCCTTGAGGTGAGCCTGTAGTAGCATTGATATCACAGAATCACAGAATGGTTTAGGTTGGAAGGGACCTCTGGAGATCAGCTAGTCCAACCTCCCTGCTCAAGCAGGGTCACCTAGAGCATATTGCCCAGGATCACATCCAGACGGGTTTTGAATATCTCCAGAGAAGGAGACTCCACACCTCTCTGGGCAACCTGTTCCAATCACCCTCACAGGAAAGAAGTTTTTTCTCAGGTTTAGATGGAACTTCCTGTGGTACAGTTTGTGCCCATTGCCTCTTGTCCTGTTGCTGGGCACCACGGAGAAGAGACTGGCCTCATCCTCTTGACACCCCCCCACCCCCCACTTCAGATACTTAATATCACCCAGTGCTCACCACCATGTGCTGGTGCTCACATGCAAAGAGTGGGCAACAGTGCTCTGCCCCATCTCCCATTTGCACTGACTGGGAAGGGGGGAGCTCTGTCCTGGCGTGCTGCAGTCATTGCCCGGCTAAGCCCTGGCAACCGCACCCTAAACATGTCCTTCAGTGGCAGCTTCCCTACCCCAACACTCCCACAGCATAGCCCTCCCTGAGCTCATCTGGCAGTTGTACCCACCTGTAAGAAGCAGGTCCCAACAGGGGTGTTCTCCTTCAGGGACACATTGTAGAAGTTACTCTTGAACACTGGCTCATTGTCATTGACATCCTGCAGTGCCACACGCACCACAGCTGAGGAAGAGAGGGCAGGGCTTCCCCTATCCATGGCCAGCACTGTCAGCTGGGGCTGAGGATCCTTCTCATAATCCAGTGGGGCAGCAGTGGTGATGATACCTGTGGCTGGGTCAATGGCAAACCAGCTGGAGTGGGTGTCACGGCCATGCACGATACTGTAATGCACTTCCCCATTGGGACCCTGGTCCTTGTCACGAGCTGTCACCTGCAGGACAAAGCTGCCTGGATACACAACCTCGGGG